CCAGGAAAACGTGGAACTGCAGGATGAATGTCTCGAGAGAGCATCGACCGAGCCACGCCGCAGCAGTAGAGTAGTAGTTCCTCATGGTAACGGTAGCGTTTCGAAGAGCGATGAAGGCAAGAATAGGTACCGCCGCAATGACCGGGTGCATCATGATATAGACCTTTCGGTCGCCAGTGTATGTGCAGAGGTAAGCATATCCAAGGATCGACAGGGCTGAAGGAATAATGGCAGCTTTGAAGTTGGTGTACCAAGCAGAATCACGCTCGAGTCGCTGTTGCGCGACACCAGCGAGCATGCCGACGAACACAATGGCTCCATCAAGAGTGACTCTGAACATCCACTCGTCAATGTTCCATTTGATGCGGAAGACGACATCGAGGATTGCGAAAGCCCACTGAGTGAGAGGGGTGAAGTTGAGAATGACTGTGACGATGATAAAAGAGGCAAAGATCTTGCTCGTGACGATCTTGACACTATCGTTGAAGCCAGAGCAGATGGCCATGGTAGCATAGACGACCATGAACCAGAAGCTGACAAGCGGCGCAAAGTAGTAAAACATATAGTCAGTTCCCATGACGTAAGGAAGGGCACAGCTCAGCATGTTCAAGCGCAGCATGACACTTGCAATGCGGCGGAATGAAAAGTCCTTCTTGGAGAGGAAGTAGATAGTATGTCCGTATCCAGTCTGGAACAGGTAGGCAGCGACAAGCAATCGGATGAAGATATAGATGGGAAGATTGCGAATCGCACCGGTCCAATGGTAAACAAGAATGGCAGCCTGCATCCAGCCCTTCCACTCTTCAGTCTGATCTCTTGAGAGGACGCCGGCATCCTCATCAATTGGCACGGTGGTAGTGGCAGGGGCGGCAGCAGCCTCAGCAACTGGCAGACGAGGCGCACGGAACTTTGTCTTGCAGATGGTGAGTCCGGCAATGATGAGGCAGATTGCAATGAGGAGGTAGAACTCATTTGGAATAAACTCCTTCATGCCCTTGGAAAACAGATGGGTACGGTCGGCAGCGAAACAGTAGAGAAGAGAGACAGCAAACATGCCAACCTTCATATCGAGCCACTTGATCTCGATGGACGAGACGAGGGTGACGCCCTCGTAGCAGATGCATGCAATGACGTAGATAGCAGTGAGGCCGAGAATGGCAATTTGGACCCATGATTGCGAGGGATAATCTGTGCAGCAGGTTCGCGTGTAGGGATATCCGTTCATTCGATCAAGCTTGGCGTTGCATCGGGCGTTGAGCAGGATGTTTGCTTTGATCTCAGCGACTGTATCAATGACGTGAAAGCCAGTCTGGGTTCTGTCGACGATAGCCTCGGGCTGATTGAGCGAGAGCTGAGGGAATGCTCGGAGCAGACGGAGGTTGTGCTCCTCTTCCTGGCTGTAGATGACCTTATCAATGTTTTCAACCTCGCCCTTGTGAATACCCTTAGGTCCAGTGCGGGACTTGGGGAGTTCATTGTAGTATGGAGGCGCAACGGGGGCGAGGAAGACCTCATTGCCAATGCCTTCAACGGGGTCCATTGGTCCTGTACCCCATTTGGTGAGGTCTCCCAAATGGAGGATGTCGGTGATGTTGTCGAGGGCCACGGCGAATCGCTTGTCAGACTCGTTGCCGAAGAAGTTACCGGCGTACCAAGCACCAGCGCCCAGCATGATGAGGCCGGGATCGGAGCCATGATGCTTTTCCTTCCGCTTCGCTTTCTCTTCGGCGGACTCCTTGATCTGGCCTTGCTTGTGCTTGTCCTCGCTGATTCGCTCGAGCTGTTCTCGGAGAGGGTGGCCTGGTTCGGTATGGTAAAACGGGTTCCAGATGTGCAGCATTCGGACGCCATTGAAGGTTGTGTTGTAGCTTCGGTGAGGTTTGGCTTTCTTGCGCCCTTCCATGGCCTTCTTACGATCCAACTAATTACCAGTCAGTAGCAGAACGATGCGCGGATGCGGAAGTGCATTATTTACCAATCGCGCAGTGCCCCAGTATATCTGTCGTGTCGTCGAGTCGCCAGAGAAGACCAAATGGCGATCACCCATGCAATCCTTTATGTCCTGCGCCGTGTAATGATGCAGCATACATCCGTCAGGCTGCCAATTCGTGAAGGGCTTCCTCGCACCCGTCTCATCCGGAGCATGGATCCAGCTTCCATTTCGTTCACTCTCGCCCAGCAGCGCTCTACATCGATACGGATCATCTGAGGAATAGACATTGTGAAACGTCAACGAGCCCAGCAAGACCAGACAAAAGACGATTGGGAGAAATCTCGCCGCAAAGGCCATGGGCCGTGATGATTCCGACATGATGTGAGAGAATGTGGTTATGCGTCGGGTGAAGGCTAGGAGCCTGCGAAGTGACGAGATGAGAAGATAAAGAGCTCTCTTGGCCGCGGAGAGGTAAGAAGAGACATTCTGGTGGCGTAGGAAGGGTTGCGTCCCTTGCTTTAACCCCTGAGACCGTTGGGGCATGATGGTATGAACGGAGGGCGCTTGGAATGAACTAACGGCATGCCTAGATTGAGTGTGTGTCCAAAAGCAGTTGGCTAGGGTACAGGAAAAGGAGAGACAAGAGCTAAAAAGCCACGGGGGATAAGGGAAAGCGAAACAAGGTGTGTCAGAAGGAGATCAGCAAAGGAGAAGGAATGAAGGAAAAAAAGAAAAGAAAAGAAAAGAAAGAGAGACAGAGACAGAGTAAAACAGCCGATGATGACTCTGTACGTAGGTAGGTAAGGTACGAAAATGCAGTGTTACCCGTCACACGCGGCCACGGACGCGGAAGGCAAGATATTTTATTCCACAGACAATTCGACCCCTAGAAAAGAACAGAAAAGAACCCCTCAACGGAAGAAGAATCCCTCCCACTTCCCAGGGTCAGGGCCAGGTCCAGGTCCCCTCATCTCTAAACATGTCAAGCTCAGTAGTCTATCGCTAGTCTCTCTCTGCTGCAGAACCGACATCCAATAGCCAGCGCCACGCAATAAGCACCCCTGACTAAAACAGCAAGGGAGCAGTTCAGCTCTGCATGCCAGCACCCAAAAACAAGCTTTTTCCATTCCCGTGCCAATTTTTCTGCAGTGACAGTCAAGACTAGATTAGGTTGGAAAAGTCAATCGCGTGCGTGGCCTGTTTTCCCCACTGGTCAATCAAAAGGAGTAATTATGTATAGGGATAATATTAACCTTATAAATTAAATAAAAACTCAATCAATTTGTTTCCCTAGGGATTCTTTATTGCCGATTTGTTTGCCGCGAGTCAACCCTTGGATTGTCAGTTCATGAAATGCGCCACTTTTACGGAGTACACATTCAGTGAATGCTTGCCCTGATCTTCAAGGACAGATATGTACTGTACAGTAGGCACAGTACTCCATACAGTAGGGGAAACGTAACCCATGTACGTACAGTATCTACGTGTTCCCCGTGTCGTTTCTTTTGGGTGACGAATCTGATACAACTGTCGCACCGATCGATCTGTCGTTTCTGTTTGTTTGTTGTTTTCGAGTTACACAGCGTTACACGTTTCCGTCATGATTCAACTGCCGGAGGATTAAAGCTTGACATTCAACGAGAGGCTGTGATTTGGTGGTTTAGCGGTGCTTAAAATTGGTAGGGTGACACTGAAGGGGCCCTGGAGGGAAATCGTTTCAGGGCTCGATTGATTGATTGACCGGCCCCGGGACAGAACCGGCACAGCTGGGGTCCCCGCATCGGCGTGAGCTTCCGATCGGTCTTGATCAGCGACCGGGACATCAAAGGTTGCCAGATAAATAGAATCAATACCAGTACTTGAGCGTGAATTAATATCAGCAATTAACAAAACAACAAAGTAATAAATAATCTGCTCAAAATGTCATTCTGGATCGAGACAGAAGACTGGCATACTGCCGGCGAACCCTTCCGCATCGTCCAAACCCTCCCGCCAAGCCATCTCCCCGACGGCGAGACTGTCGCTCAACGTCGCCTTACTGTCATTAAGACTCCCAATCACCCTCTTGACCAACTCCGACAATCTCTGTGCCATGAACCACGAGGCCATGCGGACATGTATGGTGGTTTCATCACGCCGCCGAATGATCCCGGTGCTCATTTCGGCGTCTTGTTCTGGCACAAAGACGGCTTCTCAACGGCATGCGGACATGGAACCATAGCTTTGGGGTATTGGGCTGTCACAAAGGATCTTGTTGAAGCGCCCGAAAACGGGACTGTTGATGTCGTTATTGACGTTCCTTCTGGGAGAGTTACCGCGAAGATTGCTATCAAGGACGGCAAGCCGATCCATGGCAACTTCATCAGCGTCAAGAGCTACCAGATTGCCAAGGACTTATCTGTCAATCTCCCATCACGAGGTGTTTATGTCAAGGTCAATCTCTCATTCGGTGGAGCTATCTACGCTACCATCGACGCGGCTCAGCTCGACCTTCAGGTTGAACCAAGCCAGTACATCAACTTCATCAACCTTGGACGTGAGATCAAAGCTTCTCTAGGCACTAGAGCGCACTACGACACGAATGATTTATACGGCATCATATTCTTCAATGACGAAGGTACTGGACCAGCTGGAGAGGTACTTCAACGCAACGTTACTGTCTTTGCAGATGGCCAGATCGATCGCTCACCCTGTGGCTCAGGCACAGCCTCAAGAGTAGCGGTGCTTCTGGCCGAAGGAAAACTGGGAGCTGGGAAATCGAAGCTTCTGCATCGATCTATAATTGATACGGTATTTGAAGCGGATATTGTTTCTGAGGAAGAGAGCCCTGTCGATTTCCCGGCGTGTATTCCGAGAGTGAGAGGAACAGCTAACCTGGTCGGGAAAATGAACTTTTTCATCGATCCAGAGGATACAGTCTTTCCTGGGTTCTTACTAAGGTAAATTAATTTCAACGAATTGAAGAACAAGTTCTTAGAAGCGGCATATTCCATCATTATTCATTAGTATATATATACAGGCTGCCATAATCCATACCAAGCTCCCGTGCAATCTTCTCAAAACCCATCTATGCCAAATTAAGATTTTGTGTATACGGACTCACAAATGTGTTCCAATCATTTGAATCACCAGTAACCAGGACCGGTGAATCCCTTTGGGTATGTAAATCTCTCATGCGCCAGACTTTTAAAATCACCGCTTTTGTTCTCTCAACATTCGCCAAAGTCAAGCCAACCATGGCATCAAGAGTCTCCAAGACAAGCTGCCTTCCAGATAAAAAGGTGCCTTGATCACCGTGGGCGAAGATCTTATCGTCATTCAAAGGATCTATCTCCACGGCTGCGACAAACAGAGGGAATAGAAGTCCTGCGGCACTGCCTTGTTGAATAAGGTCGTGAATACTACGCAGAACCTTGATAACAAGCTGTGACACTTGAGGTGTAGAAGGATCAGCATCTCGAAGCAGGCAGTGAAAGTATATCTGCACCGAAGTCTTCTTCAGGTCCACACATCGTCTGACATTCTCATCCATGGCCTCGACAACAGTGATATTGGAGCTGACCAAAGTCAACTCTCTGTCAAGCTCCTCAACTTGAATCTCATAGTCTTCTTGAGACATATCTCGTGTTCTTGTCCTTGCAAGTTCTGTGATCTTAAAAATCACAGATGCCATGGCCGGACTACAACCCATCCATGCATCAATATCCTCCGTGTGATCCGGTCTTTGCCAATATTCCAGGCCAAAGATAGGTGAGTTTCCACAAGCTGTTCTGCTGATGACATCTTGAAAAGCAAAGTATCGCTCTGAGAACGCAGCAAGACTTCCAAATGCCGAGTTCTTACTTGACGGAAGTGCAAGCTGTTGGCGTTTTCTCATGAAGTCTTGACTTGCCCTCAGGTGGAAGACCCATCGATAGTCGCCGTTATCAAGGATTTCGTAAAGACAGAGAAACATCATTGTGGCAGGAACTTGAGGATCCAATATGACGTCTGCCGTGACATCTGGAGATCGAATCCTTTGTAGAAGACCAGTCAGGGCCTTGCCTTTCATCTTCATTGCTGTGCGTGTCCATGATGGATCTGTGATGCTTCGATGTCGAGCAGAGAATGCAAGAACAGATTGGACGAGAAGATCTTGCCCGGCATGGGTGAATAGAGGAGCAACCATGCTTGCAAAAGGCGACGAGAGTTGCGAAGAAGGTGTTGTGAGAGGACATAGTCGTAGGAGATAGTATTCGAAAAGACTCGTTTCAAAGGTGCTCAGTGTAGGGAATGATGATATTGAAGGAATGAGCTTTGGTGGCGACCGTGACCTCCGAATAAGCGCTGAGGACGGTTCAGTCTCATCTCTCAACTCCATAGCCTCCCTAACAAGACTCTCTTCATAATTCGGATCATGAACAAAGTCACTATAATAAGTATTGATAAAATGTCTCGGCCCAACAGCCCCAAACCCCCAAGCCTTTGGCGAATGAACCTGCGGCAGTCGTCTCTGCCTTGCCCCATCCTTACACCAAACACCCTCCCGCCCAAACGAGAGCCCCTTTGCAGTAAACTCAGCCTCCCATTTTAGCTGTAGCGTAGTATCGCACGACAATCCGCGGGAGACGCAGTTCCGACATGCAGGTTTAGCTTCGTCGCATTTGACCTTGCGGGTCCGGCACGTTTGACATCCTGACCTTGTTCGTCTCTGGACGGGGCCGGTTTTGCCGGGGGGACGGCGGCGCGGCATTGGGGGGGAATATGGGACACGGAGCAAAAGTGCCGGGAGATGGAGGAGGATTCTTTTGCTTATGAGAGTGAGTGGTTGATCGTCTGATGGGGAGAGTGGAAAAGCGGGGGGGGTTTTGGAGGAGAAGACGACGCTATGGATGGGGCTATCACCTGATGACAGCGAATGGGCGATGGATGAGCCAATCAGATGTACAGTGTGAATCTGTGATTCGGCTGGACCTTCGATGACATATCTCGGTTGAACCTTCAATGGAGGCGATAGTATTGGACATTTTCTATATCTTTCATGGTCCGAGCTGATTATTGCCATTACTTATCCATAAATTCACCAGCGTTGCGTTCTCACAATCAACATAATGGCCTCAACTCTCACCAAACAGTCCCAAATTCTCATCGTTGGTGGCGGAACTTGGGGATGCTCAACGGCCCTCCATCTCGCCCGTCGGGGCTACACCAACGTCACTGTTCTCGACGTCAATCGCATCCCATCACCCATCTCAGCCGGTCATGATGTAAACAAGCTTGCAGGCGGTCTCGGTGAGACACCCTAGCATATAGCACTCAAACACTTCACTAACAGAGCAGGCACTTCTGATAGTAAAGGCGATGACGAAGACTCAATCTGGAAAGCTCTTACGTACGCCGCAGCTCAAGGGTGGCTCCATGATCCCGTCTTCCAACCTTTTTGCCACAATACAGGAGCTGTCATGGCTGGCTCAACTCCAAGGTCTATCAAGCAACTGGTGGAAGATGAGATCGGTGACGATATCGACCAGTATACACCTCTCAACACAGCAGAAGACTTCAGAAAGACTATGCCGGAGGGTATTTTAACAGGTGAATTTCCAGGCTGGAAAGGCTTTTACAAGCCCACGGGTTCAGGATGGGTTCATGCTCGAAAAGCTATGAAAGCTGCTTTCGAGGAGAGTCAGAGACTTGGTATCAAGTTCATCACTGGCTCTCCCGAAGGGAACGTCGAGAGTCTGATCTTTGAAGATGGTGATGTCAAAGGTGCAAAGACAGCAGATGGTAAGAAGCACAGGGCAGATCGGACTATTCTTTCTGCTGGTGCTTCAGCAGAGTTCTTCCTCGATTTTGAGAACCAAATCCGCCCTACAGCATGGACTCTCGGTCATATCCAGATGACGCCAGAGGAAATGAAGCTGTACAAGAACCTCCCACCTCTTTTCAATATAAACCAGGGCTTCTTCATGGAGCCTGATGAGGATCTGCATCAACTCAAGATGTGCGATGAACATCCTGGCTACTGCAACTGGGTTGAAAAGCCAGGTTCCAAATACCCTCAGTCCATCCCCTTCGCAAAGCATCAAGTGCCCATCGAGGCTGAGCGACGCATGAAGCAATTTCTGAAAGATATCATGCCTCAGCTCGCAGACCGTCCACTTGTTCATGCTCGAATCTGCTGGTGCGCTGATACACAAGATAGAATGTTTCTGATCACCTATCACCCTCGACATCCATCGCTTGTCATTGCTTCAGGTGATTGCGGCACAGGATACAAGCATATCACGTCGATTGGAAAGTTTGTCTCTGATTGTATGGAGGGTACGCTTGAGGAAAGGTTTGCTAGGTTTTGGAGATGGCGACCAGAGAAGTTTACTGAATTTTGGGGCAAGGATCCTTTGGATCGGTTTGGAGCTGACGATAAGATCATGGATTTGCCCAAGAGTGATGCAGAGGGATGGACAGACATACAGAAATGATAATAAGTGTTTTGATTGGAAAAAAGCTGAGAAAAAGACATCAATGGTTTCAAAAATTCCCCATGATGTATCTACCTAAAGATATTGACAGGGTGTTGTAGTAGGATGAAGATTCCCTTCGTAGGAGCGTTCCTGAACATTTCCTTGAGGAATCCGGCAAAATCCCCATATATCTTGATATCAAGGTTCACGATACTTCTTCTGCTGAAGCATCACATAACACTTCTTCAAACCTGTCTTGCAATAAGGTTCCGCCATCCTCGGAATCTTCACTCAAGGAAGCATCATAACCTGATTCTCTGTCTGAGAAACGCACAAGTTCCCAGTAAACTTCATCATCTTCCTCCTGCAGCTCCCAAGCTGCGACACGCTCCCTCGGGCAGAATTGGTCGTGTACATGATTGTCATCTCCGCAAAAGAACTCGAAAGAAGACAAGCAAACGCCACAGTTAAAACAGTCAGGATCATCCACGCAGTATATACACATACGGCAAAGATTTCCTCTTGTTAGCGACCCAGAGGGGGATGTCGTATCGCTTTGTTCAGAGGCTGGCGGCCATAACTGATCATCCCAATAAGGACATTTGCCCTGTTGCCCATACCACAGCTTTTCAAAATCTTCGCGAGTATATCCGGTGGAATATCGCGCTTCCCGTGGATAATGTCTCCTTTGTTCCAAAATGTTGTAGCCGAGGCAAGTCAGAACTGCATCCCAGGTATCACCTTTGGCTGAAGGACTGAATTGATAACAAGCCGTACATGTGGCACTATAAGCATGGTGCCAAGGTTGATATGCATCGTCATCCTCGGCACACAAGTCAGCACCATTCTCAATAAGAAGCGATAAAAGTTCCATGTATTCTGGCATACGCTGATGCCAGGCATCGGATGCCCTAAAAAGGAGATGTAGGCAAGTTTGTCCGTTAAGAGTGCTGTTGACGTCGTAGCCTTTCTCAACGAGTAACCGTACTTGCTGGAGTGTCTGATGTGATTCGGAGTGTTGATTTATGAAAGCACCAAAGCAAAGTCTTGGGATCAAATCCTGGTTTTCCCAAGTGTTTGAGTTGGCATAAACAAAAGGACTTAGAGCAAGCGTCTGTTTCATTACAGTGAAGCGAGCCTCTGTCTAATTGAGGTTAGAAATTGATATGGGCAGGAAGTGAAATGCTCACATCAAGATCGACAAGGAGCTGAACTGCAGTCTCTCTTCCTTCAACTCGTAAAGTCACATCTGCCCCTGCATGCAGGAGGGCTTCGTAATGCGCTATAGAAAGTCCACGCTCAAGAGCGAGATGAGATGGAGTACTACTCCATTGTTATTCAAAGCTTAAGATACTAATATAGCAAGTCGCATACATCTGGCATTCGCGATCGGTGCGAGTGTAGGTTATGACTTCATCGATGTCCAATCCCTGTTCTATCAGGAATTTCAGAACCGGGAGATTTCTCACTGAATGCTATTCGGAGGGAGCGTAAGCTAGTGCCATGAATTCATGTTAACTTCTGTTGCCTTACATGGAGTAATGACCATCCATTTGTATCGTGATCATGAAGATTGGCCAAACCTCCCTCGAACAATTTGAGGAGGTCTTGGACTGATCCGCTCCGGGCTGTGTCAAATACAAGAGAGTCTCCGGGTAAGATGTTGCACACCATGGCGCAAGGCAAAATGCTGGTAAAACTGTTAAATAAAGACTGTCCCTGATTCACCGACAGTCTGAGCATCTTCTTTGTGCTTTTGGATGTGTAGGTAAGTTTTGCGACGAAGTCTCTTCTGGTTTCAATTTTCCCCCTTTCGATTTCAGAGGATAGGTTTTGATACCTCTTAGTTGTCGTTACGGTCACAACTCCATCCTCTGTTTCGAAAGCCTTTCGTTTTGGTTCTTGCGAAATTAAAAGCTGTTCGCCCGTTGGTCTCCAGAATCTTTTTGTTGCATCTGAAGAAGTAAGTAAGGCGATCACATAAATCAAAGAGACGTACCAGTTTGATTGATCATCATCGACGGAGAAGAGAGGATGATATTTGCCATGAGCTTTAATTCCTTTGAAACGTCTTGTTGACAGTTCTGGCAGGCCCCTTCTGACTCGACAGGCTCTGCATCATTTCGGATATAGTCTAGAAGATACTCAATGTCTTTCAGGAGCTCTTCTGAATCATCGGACTCGACCACGCAGGGCTTTTTCTCCAGTAGTCGCATCAAACGATTAATACTCTCATCCAACGATGTATCTGGTGAACAGTCCATCTCTTCGTCGTCCACCTCCGTCACCCTTACTGAAGTTGATGGCGATTCCTCCTCGGTGACCAGACTAGCTGTACTGTTTATTCGCAAGGCTGCAATCTCTTGTTTGAGATGCTGGAGATCGCTCAAAATTTGGGTAGATTGAGTTGCAGTCAAAGACAATTGTCGCGCCTGGATAATATGGAATTGAATTGTTAGATGGTGCAAATGGCTTTGAACCGCATTGCGGATATGGTCGAGTTCTTTTTCTGAGAAACATAGCTTCAGGTTTCTCCAGAGGCGACCTCTTCGACCATCCAAGGTTGAAACATCAAGGGATTTCAGACGATGGTCAAGTTCGGCCAAGTCGCCTTTGCATCTTTTCGCCAAAGCCTTCAGCTGAGACCTATCGATGTTATTGATAGAAGCAAAAGGTATTTGCTTTAGGCGTTGTAAAACACTCTCAAGCTGCGCAATCTCACGGGTGAGGGAACGAATGACCCCAGGGCCATCTTTGATGGCTGAGAGTCCCGAATGGATTGATTGAGTCACCGAGAAAGCGACGGTGATAAGGGTGAGTATGCTGGCACCAGCACCGACAGCTTCCATTTCCTCGGATGTTACTGGAGAGGGATTTTGGCACGGAAGAGATGAGGTGGTTGGAAGAGTGTAAGGTCGAGATGGTCTGCCCAGAGTGAAAAGTCCAGCTGGTCTGAGTTTTTGTAATTGTGAAATCCAGGGCGGCAAGCACAGCCTGATTGGTGACTTTTTAAATGTACTTCTACTGCTGTTAGCCCAACTTGTCTCACAAGAGCTAAGCCACCACCTATAGCTCAGAGTACAGGATATGGAGTGCATGTTCCAGCGTTCACATCCAATCATTTGAATCAGGCTGTAGCACTCAGGCGGTGAGCCAACAGGGCACATTCTATGGCTATATGAGAGCATAGAACTAGCCATTGGATCAAAACATCTCACCGGTAACTTGACATTTTCAGTGATGGCTTTCTCGCGGTTATTGGCGCCAGGTTGTGTCCTTGCCGCTAAACAAGTCAATTCAATCGTCTTCCAGTTGAGAATGACCTTGATCAGTGACCAAGCTCTACTCTAATCAGTACTCTAGAGAGCTCACATTAGTTGGACATAATTGTGGATAGTGATTAAAAATAAGACTATCATGAATGTGAGTTTTACTGGGAGATTTTCTGTGAGACCCTTAACCCGAACTTTGGCTCTGACAAAGGTAGTCTGGGGGCTCGTGAACCTGATACTCTACAGAACATGTAGTGAAGAAGCGTACCAAGCATCTAGTTGAAACCTAGAACTGATTCAAGGCTAGGGCGACCATCAGACATGTCAGAATGACTATAAATTGAACATTTGAGGGCAAATCCGTATGCTCTCTTGCAGCACAACATCTTATGGAAAGAACTCAACTATAAGTAGCTGCATTCATAAAATCCCTTCTAGACTACAAAACCCAACACGTGCGTCGAGAATTTCAAGGTCTGTTACTCTTGTGGCTATCGGAAGTCCCTCGGGTGGACCTATTGTGAGCCTTACCTGCGATCAAGCCCACCGTCTCAAGCTATCGCCGACCTTGAATTCGAGCCCTCTATCTTGTGGCATCTTCCACCAGATCGCCCAGACATGACAGATAAGGTAGTTTCTCTATTTCTTGGGGACAAGTGCCCAAATTCAGAATGTCCGGAGAAAAGAAGAAGAAAGAGGAGCGAGAAGAGGGTGAATGTAGCACAGAGTAGCCTCCTTGTAAGCAACATTTTTCTCTGATGCAGGGACTTATGAGACCTCTGATTCCTGTAGGAAATGTAGTGAATAGATATCAGATACGCGAATGCATTTTTAGAGGGATTAATAGCCAAGATGGACGTGACACATGTAAGGGATTATCTATAACTCCCCGGCTGGAACTCCAGTTTCATTCATCAGTCACGGCACACATTCTCCATCGCAACATCATATACAACAACGACATCAACAAACTATAAAGAACGCAACCACACAGAAACCTCTTTTTTGAAACACTTCTCACCCATCTCAAGCCAAAATGTGCACCAAATATATGAAAACATGTCTTGTATGCCATCATAAGCAGTTGATTAGGTGGAGCCAATGCGATCCCTATACTCTCTGGCTAGCACTTGGTTCAGATCCCGCCTCGACGGAACCTAGTGCCGCCCGGCATATTGACTTAGGTCTTCCAGACATCGAAGAGGTGTCAATGGACTTTTTTACATCAACACCATGCCCCAACGAGGCATGCACGAGTAGGAATTGAAGAAGGAGAGCATTACTCCACTAGTTATATATGACAAGAAATTCTTTAACTCTGTGGACATCGAGCTTTGCTAGTAATTGTGAATGGTCTGATTGTGGCTCTTTGGATGCAGTTCTGAGATAACTTGACAGGAAGCCAGATTTTCGTCATTCAAAGCAGCGTTATGGTGTGTTGAACAAGATTTGGAAAAGGGTTCTGATAGATGATCTCCCACGACTCAGGTACGTAGTCACTCAACCAGACAGTATCATTGATTAACCAGAGCGCGGAGAGTATTTCAAAGCGAATCGTTGTATCATTCTATCCGAGGACGATACAGAAAGATACTTCCTGGATGAGTGTGTCTAGGCACCAAAGCTCAACTGCCCTGAAAATGTATCTGAATCCTTCCCCGAGCTTCAGACACTTTTTGTTAGTGTTCTGGGAATGAAGAAGACGGATATCGGCCTGGTTTACGATGAAATTGTAAACTTAATCTATATAATAACGATATTCGGCGAACCAAGGGAAGAACAAGCATGAAGACTTCTTGTTGCTTTGAGCCAAGATGTTGAAAAATACGGCCACTATATCGATAAAGAAGAGCTCCTTGAAAGTCATCTCTTTCCAGTTGTTGGACATGGTAAACATATCATGCTGCAGCCCGCCTTGGCTGATTTCTACATCATGGACAGGGAGGCTTCCCAAACCGAATTGCGCGGAAAGGTTCCAGTCTTGGACATTGACCATACGACCTTTTGGCTACTGCAGCCCTTCTTCGATTGGGCGGGACTCCGAGGCCGTTATCTCATGTCAAACATTGGCTCGATCCGTACCGAGATGGTTCCAGACTCAGTGACGCCGCCATACATACACCCAAAGCGGGCAAAGGGATTGCTACGGTAAGTTCTGGCGAGCAACATATATACTGCGAATCTAATAAGCGCTGCAGGCTCGCTGTTCATTACAGAAGTCCCCGGACACGCACTGTAGATGGGAGAAACTCCTTAGCCCGAGCCCTAGGCAAGACCAGGATACACATCCTAAAGGATGATGGCTTGCGTAGCATTCTCAAGATGAAGGACTTTGAGGGCTCTCAGGTTATATTACCGTTTTCAGAAATCCACACACGCAAACACGATGGCGGTCTAGAGATCTACCTGGAGAAAGGTTCAGCTGAGGCTGCAATGGCAGTTCAGCTTCCGTTGGTTTTGGTGAGATTTCTCATGGAGGACCCAAATGACAATTCTAAAAGCATAAAGCTCGTGGATGGAATGCTTCCCGGCTTTATAGGGACGGTCTTTAGGGCTAGCAACCGTAATTCGCGGTCCATCAAGACAATTCTTGACAAGGAGGGCATAGTTGATGTGGATAAGTTGGAGAACTCGCCCTACATACCCGAGAATGGGTAAGTTTGCGGAAACCACAACTGATCGAGAGCTGTCTAACTGGTAGCTAGTACCGGAAAACTGTGGGACATATTGGTTCCCAAGAAGCCTGCTAAAAGGTCGCACCACTATAGGAATCGCCCAAAGATCCCTGAAGTAAATGGCCAGGACGATGATCTCTCTCAGCAACTGGGTTCGTTGAGCTTGTAGGGGAGTGCGAATGTAACAGGCACGATTTGGAGCTCAAACACGACGAAGTTATTCGACAAATCGGAGGGAATTTAGGGAAGACCCCTTTTAGTCGGCTCACTCATAACTGTCATTTCTTAATACATAACGCTTTCGTTGGCGTATTCCTGCACCACTCCGATACCTAACCTCAACGCCGCCGCTTCCTAGCAACATCATCGACTTGATCGACATCCTCCATGAGCTCGCTGTCTTTATCGAGCTTCGTCCACTTGTCCTTTCCATCAGGAATGTCAACCACTCTCTGCGTGTAGAAAATGTGGCACCTTAACCTAGTCAGCCTTACCATAACACATGTCTGTGGCGACATAACTTACTGTGGCTGGAAGTTCTCTCGCAGCTCAGGCGTATCCAGATTCAAAAGCGTAGGGAACAAAAGAACCATGTTACGGCCCTCATCCATAATCCAGCTCCCGCACTCGGCACAGCCGACCTTGCAGGGAAGAACATGCTCGCTCTTCTTGGACGAAGTCTTGTAGAACCGAAGATTCTTGACACCGTTCTCAAAAGAGAGGTCTGTCTTTTTGAAGATGGCCGCCCACTGGAAAGGAGCACCTGAAACTCATTAGCCACTGACTAAATAGTGTGTCATTGAGTGGAGTACCGTGGATCTTCTTGCAGTCTATACAATGGCAGTACTTGGACGCAAGAGGCTTGTCGCTGTTCAGCCAATACTGCACTCTACCGCAGTGGCACGAGCCATGAACTTTCTTTTCAAAGTTCTCTCGCTTTTCAGTGGCTTCATCGGGTCTTGTGTAGGGAGGTTGGGTCTCCCAGTCATCATGATTGTCATGGGCGAATTCGTGTTGATGCCCTTCCATATGCTTCTCATCGTCGTCAGCGGCCATTGTGATAGACAGATATGAGAATTCTTGGCAACAAAGGAATAAAGTTGGTACCTAGATCTAGATTGACAATAATACGAGATCTAGAATTAACGAAAATCTGGGGTTTTGTAGAAACGGTCGCGTGCCCTTGATCGACGTGGCGCACGGTTGTCGTCATAGATATATCAAGATGTCCAAGTCCCCGTCATGACCCTCATATTTTTTTTGCTTCTCCCTCGATCTGATCACTCGCTAGGACCATTTCCTCCCTCGATCTATGCACTATTCAATATGTCATTGATCATCTCGGCCCACTTCCACGGCTCCCCGATCTCAGGGCTAGCCTCTGTGACACTGTTGTAATACTCCCAGCCCATTACTCCTCCGATCCTCGGGTACCTGCTCACCAACTCTTTGAGACACGCGCGCAGCTTTGCTTCTTTTACGTATCCGGAACAATTGGCAGGGTTTGTCACCAGACCTATGACGACTTTTTCCTGTGGCCAGCCGCGCGCGATTATCGTGTCGTAGTCGTGTGTTTTGCTCATGTCACCCCAGCCGCAGTAGAATTGCGTGTTGTACCACGCGATTCGCGAGCCAAGTCCCTTTTCGAGTTCTTCCATGTTGAAGCCTCCGAGATTCTGCCTGTTAAGCAAAGCGGGCGCGACGGGCGCGAGGGTGATGAGGAAAGATTGTCCAAAGTCTGTCTTGAGGTGATCAATCAGACGGACGACACCTCCAAGTGACATGGCCTCTTCAATATCCAGATCCAGTCCGTCGAAGCCTGCCCACGCGATCATCTTGCGCAGAGGCTGATACCATCTGTGAAAACCCTCGAGCGACCCGTCCATTTTGGTGTATGAGCCTTGAGCTGCGCCTCCGAGCATGCCGAGGACTTTCACACCGGCTGCTTGAAGCTGACGGACTTCATCCCAGAGAGGAATGAACTTGTCTGCATCATATAGATCATCGTTGAGGGTGATGCGCTCAGGCGTGTTGAGATGAATGGCCGCGACAATGACGTGGGTGACTCCGGTGGCTGGGAGAATCGTTGGTTGAAGTGAGATGTATCTGTCGTCTTTGTATTGTGTCTGATGGTAAAATATGATTCTCTTATAAGGCTTCGGCTTCGAAGCAGGATCAGTGTGAGGAACGAGCATTCTGTTTGCGTAAGACGCTTATACTTGTCGGAAGACGCGGTGCAGCTATGGCATTTGGCGTAAGCGCTCTCCAAGTTCGGCAGTGTTGGTAGAGTCAAGCCACCCAAAATTAGAGTCCCTCATTGGCCTGGCAGGACACGAGCCGGATTTCAGAGTTCTCGAGCCACGTACATTGAGTTTGATAACTCAACCAACTTCAGGGGCCACGAAAATCCTGACCTGAAATTAAGATAATAAAAATAACTGACCTACAAGTCTTTTGAGTTTATGGAAGGCTTGTCTAAATCTGTTCATAACACAGGATGGAGATATTAAGTTTTCTTGCCTCCGTAGCCCATTCAGTCTCAACAAATAGATCAACTAGCAATACCTACAACTAGATGTCTATAGTCGATCACGGCGACAGTGTCTTGAGAACTACAAATTCTTTCGTCCGTCTGATGGTGGTATACTCCGTACATATGCGAGGATTATTCCTGTCAGATAAGATACGTCGAATGCTTGACGACAAGACACTGATAAATGCCTATCTTTTACCTCAGCTCCATATTGTGGATAATCTCGGCTATGCGAACTCACGAGGGCGTGTAGAAACCTTACATAACTGCCGGGTTGCCCAATATTCCTTATCTTGTCGATCACGATATCGCCGCGGTTGGAGGTCTTGTCTACGCCGCGATTCTAACCCAATTTTGGACTTGCTTTCCAATTCTTTGTGACGAGAATTTCGATGTCTATAAATAAAGAAATCTATCAGACTATTTCTATACCAATCTCTGTGCTGCTAGATTGGATGTCGCGTCAATGGTCAAGGTTCAACCCCTCTTGAAGTCAACGAAATTGATGCTACATGACCCCACTATCCCCAACTCAAGTCTTGCCAGCTTCCCTATTAAGCTAATCTCTTCCGTGCCAAGACATCTTTTTCCTGTTGATTTCTCCCGATTTCATGCTTAAATCTATGCTAGTTCTCTGATGCCTGACGATCTTTTGATTCTGAGGGGAAACTGACCGCGGAAGCAAGAAGTAGAGCCGTACGTAATGAGCTACCTCTTTAGGACATTGCAGGTTATAAAAGCACGTATTTCCCTCGTCGACCAACTTCTTTTTGAGGGTATCCAGCTTTTGATCTTCACAATGTTGGGACAAACAATCTTGGTCAGCCTTACGGCTGCATCTGCTGTCAATGCCTTTCAATATGGCTACAACCACGTAACCGTCCGGAAAGATATTCCACTGGTGGCAGCGAATTTCAAGAATGTCGATATAGATCTTTATTCGCCAGCCTTCCTCGACCCTGAGAGTCGACAGGCAGGTTTTATGAACGGAACCCAAGGGCCAACCTCCCACGAAGATATGGGTATGCATATATCAGAGCACATCGATGAATCCACGCTGACAATGTGCAGAGGCTTATATGGAGCGCATTGCTTCAAAAAATGACTATATGACCTACCAAACAGCAAACTTTACATCCGAAGAACTAAGATCATTCCCGTTTGTCAAGCTCTCGTCTTCAAAGGGCCCAAAGACTTCAGACAAGGTCCGAGTTTGGGTTCAAGGCGCTGTACACGGCAACGAGCCAGCTGGTGATCAATCCCTCCTCGCTCTCCTCGGCAAATTCGATAAAGATCCCAAGTGGGCTTCAAAGATTCTCAAGAACATTGATATTGTCATCTTGCCTCGGTATAACCCTGATGGTGTTTACTACTTCCAACGCGTGCTCGCTACGAATTTCGATCCAAACCGCGATCATACTAAGCTTGCGCGACAGCAGACCCGTGATATTAAGCAACTGTTCAATGAGTTTGCTCCACATGTTGCCATTGATATGCATGAATATGGTTCATCAAGTCGATATGGCAACTACGTTCAAGCCTCTGATGGTTTGTTCTCTGCTGCGAAGAACTTGAACATCAACAAGAATATTCGAGAACTCTCTGAGAAGCTGTTTGCTAAGAATATTGGAGATGCTATGGTCAAAGCTGGGCTGAGATGGGAGCCTTATGTGACTGGTAGAACTAGCACTGACCCTAATTACGTGCCCAAGTAAGTCTCATGATTTTTGTTTTAATTCCCTGTCAGCTGACTGGCCATAGGTTCGACGAAGCTGGCTCTGATGCCAAGATTGGTCGCAACGCAATGGGTCTCACTCAATCCATCACATTCCTGATCGAGATGCGAGGAATCGGATTAGCAGACCAAGAATTCCAACGTCGAACTGCCGCTGGCTTGACCATGGCCAGTTCCATCATCGAAACTGCTTCCAACAACGCCCAGAAGGTCTTCAAGACCGTCGAGGATGGAATCAAGGATTTTATCAAGTCCAAGGAACCCATTGTCATCACCGACTCGACAAAGTACAGCACACGAATGTTTCAGATGATCGACTACACCAACGGTTCCATCGTCAAGGTTCCTGTTCAGTTTGCGTCTACTACACCAACCACTGCGAACCTGACTCGCTCTCGGCCAGAATCATACCTCATCCCTGTTGCCTGGGCGGATATCGCTAAGCGTCTTGAAGTTTCTGGTCTTGAAGTCGAGACTCTTAGTAAGCCTTGGAGCGGCACAGTTGAAGCATTGAATATTACATCTTCGGAGCTCAGCAGCTCATACTACGAGGGAGCTGTACTTGCTACTATTGCAACTGAGACGAAGAAGCGACAGCTTACTTTGCCGGCTGGTAGCTTCCTGGTCAGTACCAGGCAGAAGAACGCGGGGCTGGCTCTGAATGCTTTGGAGCCTGAGAACATCGATTCTTATGCCAGCTTCAACATTATTCCTCTTGAAGTTGGAGATGAGTATCCTATCTTTAGGGTCGTTAAGGGTTAGGAAAGGATTTAGGCCTGGCAGACTATTTGACAGAACCCTGGATTCTTCTGAAATAGAAATGTCTATATAATCTCTAGAGATTTTCAATAGAACATGAGTTGTACAATCTCCAGTGTTTCTCTTGGTTCTATAATCACGTCAACAGTAACATCATCCTGAAGACCAGTAATATAGAATTGTCCCAAATTCACCGTTGAGGTTCCCTTTCCCCTTCGACCTTCAGGCCACAATAGGAATCCCTGAAGCATATGGAATTTACTCTTCCCAACTTTATCAATGGATATATATTGGAGAGGTTTTGCCCACATAGGCACGGCATTCGGTATCTTTTGCCGACCCCCGTATCTAGCCTCAACTACCCACCACCAAGCCAAAATACTACTATTCCACATTCAGAAGGCCGATGGAGACGATGCTGCCGTGCATTGTGCAACAGCTGCAAGGTCATTTATCAATAATTATCATGAACTTTTGTGTCATTGGATACGTCTCCTCACTTTTGTTTCCTCTTTGGGATGTAGCTATCTTGAGGACGATAGCTGAGTGCGGAGAGTGGCTTATACATATCATCCGATATCGCCAACTCTGTATTCTCAACTCATTCACCTAATTTGTGTACGTTGATATTCACAATGAGGCTTCTTACCCGGCAAGCAGCATATACGATTGCAAGAACGGCCTTTCGCAGTAAGGCACCAGTGTCCAACTTCAGCCGTGCTGGTGTTTCAACACTTCACGCCAAGATCAACACCCCGCCTCCAAGAATCGTCAAAAGTCAAGGATGTTGGCTGGAAACAGACCAAGGCGATCGAATCTTGGATGCATCTTCAGGTGCCGCTGTTGTTTCGATCGGACATAATGAATCGCGAGTGAAGGATGCCATTGTTGCTCAACTGGACCAGGTAGCATACTGCTACAACCCATTCTTCACAACAGAAGCAGCAGAAAAGATTTCTAGCTTCTTGACCGAGTCCACTAATGGGGCTATGTCCAAGGTTTTCATCGTTAGCTCTGGTACGCCTCTTGTCTAACGCATAATTCAGCTGCCGCTAACAGAAATCCTAGGTACTGAAGCTGTTGAGGCAGCTTTGAAGATCGCCCGTCAGTATTTCACAGAGTTACCAACACCGCAGCCATCCCGGACAAAGTTCATTGCTCGCAAGCAATCGTATCACGGAAACACTCTTGGATCTTTGGCAGTGGGCGGCCATAAAGCCCGACGTGGCGTGTACGAACCAATTCTTGCAACTAATGTGTCTCATGTTTCTCCATGCTACCCGTATCGAGAGATGAAAGCAGGCGAGACAGAACAGCAATATGTTCAACGTCTAGCCAAAGAGTTAGATGACGAGTTTCAGCGTCTCGGGCCTGATACTGTTTGTGCGTTTATCGCTGAAACAGTGTCTGGAACATCATTGGGCTGTGCGCCTCCAGTACCTGGGTACTTCAAAGCTATCAAAGAAGTGTGTGATCGCCACGGTGCTCTTCTGATTATGGATGAAGTCATGTCTGGAATGGGTAGAACAGGCACTCTACATGCTTGGGAGCCGGAGGGCGTGGTTCCTGATCTACAGACTGTGGCCAAAGGACTGGGAGCTGGCTATATGCCAGTGGGAGCCTTGCTTGTCGGTAACAAGGTTGCAGATACTCTGACCAACGGTTCAGGAGCTTTCTCTCACAGTCAAACTTACCAGGGCCACCCTGTTGCATGTGCAGCCGCGTATGCTGTGCAGACTGTTATGAAAGAAGATAACATGCTGCAGAATGTGCAAAATATGGGCAAATTGCTGGGCGGCAAGCTTAAAGAGAGGCTAGGAGGCCACAAGAATGTGGGAGATGTCCGTGGACGAGGACTTTACTGGGGTGTAAGTTTAACTATCGATAGTAAAAGGCTTTGCTAACCGTGTCCAGTTGGAATTTGTTCAGGATAAAGAGACGAAGGAGCCTTTTGATCTGAGTGAACAAGTCGCTGGAAAGCTGCACAAGGCTGGGTTGGGAGCCGGTTATGGAATTTCATTGATTCCATCTACTGGCTGCCTGGACGGTGTTCGAGGAGATATGGTGATCGTCTCTCCTCCTTTCACAATCACGAAGGAGGAGATCGAGCTGCTGGTTGACAAGATCGAGAAACTAGTTGTTTCTGTCCTGGGATCATAGATAATTGCATTACGAAGCTATTCATCGAATAATCACATTATAAAAGCCTGCGTCGGTCCACCAAGCAAACTCGTCCATCGAATCGAAGACTGTGACGCCCAAATCTCCTTAACCTGATCAATAGCCCTCAACAAATTCCAACACCCAGTCGTACTATGCAACTTGACTAGCTTATCCAAAAAGAACTCTCTGTGATCCGGTGTCGAGCTCTCGGCCGCTACGATGAAGTATGGCCAAGCTAGGAGATGTCTTCCTACGATATCAACGTAAGCGTCGACTTGGCCGAGTGATTGTTTGAATCTCTCGATCATAGGGACGGTTTCGGAGGGTGGGGGGTTAAAGATGGCGCGTTGGACGTAGATGTCGCAGGCCCATGTTGTCAAAGAGGCGAGTTGAGAGAGGAGGTCTTTTAGTTCGGGGTGGAAGCGGTCGCACCATGTTATGAATTCGAGGCAAGCTTGTTGCTGAGCTTGGATGAAGTGAACGCCGTTTGTTTCGTTGAAGAGAGATTCTCCAAAGAGACAGACTCTGAGGGATGTTAGTGTTTGTTGGTCACTTGTCCTCGTGGGCATCCTTACCTTAGTATCTGCATTTGCAGAAACCTCCTGAGATCAGAGGTTCCTTCGCCCGCATTCTTCGCAAGTGCGTTAACAACCACTCGCAGCGAGCCATAGATAAGTCTAAAGTTGTCGCTTCCACTTATCATCTCCCGAATATGCAGTAGAAGCAACGCAGTGAGTGCAGAATCATCATCTTGCGGTGCACACTGATGAGACCGCATAATGAGTTCCCGTACAAGAGATCCATAAGCCGCGGGATCCAGTGATATTGCAGTGCCGTTTTGTAACGAGAGATGCTGTTCAACTACCAGAAGAACTGCTTTGCGGACTAGAGGGTCTGTCTCTGCTCTGGGCAAGACGAGATCACGATAGCCGTTGAAACCCATGTTTATTACAGCGATCAGTTGAGCTATGTTGTTTGAGACTATTGGCTGTTAGATGGTGTCAAGGATGGTGAAGAGAAACTTACAATAGCCAAGACAGAACCTTGACTTTGGATCAACGTGATCTAAGCCCCAGTCTATCGATATTGGTACATGATTTGAGACAACCAAATCTTGTATCTCATGCTCTTCCTCGGTTGTATTGACAATTTCAACTGGATATTGCTCGACAGTCTCATAGCCGCTTGCACGAAAAGGATCATTCTGTCTCTCGCAACTTGAGACTGCCGCTGACGCCGTTTCCGCAGAATTGGCTTCTACCCCATCAATAATAGGCAATGATTTGCCAACGAACTTTCCACGGGCAGCAATGCCATCGTTGAAGCGGTATCGCAGACCTAGTCCACTACACTTGATGCCTTTGGCGGAACATTTGCCACAGGTTGGCTCTGCCCGATCACAGTCTATGCGTCGGCGAGAGCATTGATAGCACCCTAACAATTCGATTAGCCCATACTGGCTGAGTAGATATGGATCACGGATATAATTACCTCTGACTTTGGGCCTTTTCTTCAGTTTGTCCGACTTCGGAGGCGTTGCGGAGGGCATTGAGTTGAGTTCCGGGTGTTGCGGGGACACGGTGCTTTGCGTGACGCGTCGATGTATCACTGATATCGCGCCTGTCGTTCAAAGGCAATAGCGCCTCGCAGTATCTAGCTGTGCTATAATGGGATTGTGATGAGTATGAGGAAGCAATTGATGAAGGGGTCTGGTATCGCAATCAGCAATTGTCGTTATCGCGTCGAGATACCAACGAGATGCTCTTTCGAGTTAGTGCCTGTCATTCGCCCTGGCGTACAGGGCGGGGTAAGCTATCCCCTTGTGGGAAATTCGACACGAAGATCGAATCGCCATTGATAACTGACATTGAGAATTGATAAGTACTAAGTTTTATCGTCAGACTCAAAGCCCATTCTTTTGGAAGAATGATAGGAAGAGGCGGTATATCTGGTAGGTATCATCTAACTGAGGGCTTCTCATGGAGACTTACACAGAATCACTAATCACAAACGCTTCACGGGTTGTCTTTAATGAGAAATAAAGAGCTTCATCACACACTAAATGCCAGCTTGAATGAAGAGGAGTGGTCTATGAAATAGTTTCTAAATGGTAGACTAGTCGGGAAATCTAGACTCTATCTTTCTATCACTGGGATCTCGTCAGTATGGCTTCATCGACTCCTGGCCACCCAAAACTGCGCATTATACGCACTCTTGGTCAAGGCCTTTTTGTCGAACGCATAAACAGCTTCCATACTTCTAGGCGTCCTCCCCTCAAGCGTCAACGGTCCATAGCTCTCATCTGTATCAAGATACTCAAACCCCTTGAACTCGGTAACCTCGATAATCTCCTCCAACGTCAACTGCACAAACGGTCCAGTTCCATAGAGCAACGGTCCAAGATTTACCCAGTGTCCACCTGGTTTCAGAACCCTCTTGATGGTATCGAAATAGTTCATCAAGTTGCGGGCTGTGTCGATGAAGAAGTATGTGACTACTATGTCGTAGTAGTGGGTCTTGTCTTTGAAGACGGTGGTGAAGTCGCCCTCCTCAAGGACTACGGATGTTGAGTTGAGGGATGTGTCGGGGAAGCTAAGTTTGCGAGTCATGTCTGCTTCTGTGGCGTGGTGGGACCAGCCGTCGATAAAAGGGTGGAATGAGTGCGTATCTTGAGCGCGGTTGGCTTCGATAAAACGGTAGGCGATGTTCATATACATAGACCATTCGTTCACGGTCACCTCGAATCCTGGATATTGTCAGCGCTGAAGCATCGTGTTTAAATGACAGGCTCAAGTGCGGTGAGTTGCTGTATTTTCAGGGAAACCTTACCTCCAAGTCTCGCGATATCATGTCCAAGACGTCCTAATCCCGATCCAGGAACAAGAATCTTGACCGGGTTTTCATCATCTCTCACAGGAAACAACCCCTGAACAGTTTTCACAAGGCAAGCGAAAGTGTCCTTCCTTTCATACTCTCCCTCTTCTGTCCAGTCTCGCACGTAATGCTTCAGAGCTTGAGATACGGCAATCTTATCCACAAGCCTTTCTGAAGATTCGGCATCATCGATATGCTTTTTGAGCTCCTTCTCCTCAATACCGTAGAATTTCATAGCATTTTGAACTATGTCATCACAGAGCTCTTGGTTCTTCTTCAAAAGAGCGTCTATGCGTGTGAACTTGTTGGAGTACTTGAATTTATGCTGTAGTATCTTTAATCATGTTAGACTTCGAATCCACGCGTGATCATGACAGACTCACAGATCTTTGACCTCGAGAGACACCTTTTTTATAGAGGCTCTCAAGGCGATCAAGTGCGGCTTTCTGACTCTCATAATATCTCCTGTATCCATACAATGCATCGAGCAAACGATGTCTTGGATGTTGAGCGTTCCATTTTCCCGATTTTCTCGCCATGCTCTTGTCGAGCTTCTCCTTGGCCTCGACATGACGAGGGGTACCAGGGTTACCAGAGAAGGTCTCTGATGAAGCGACAACAGACCCGGACTGTGATTCACGGGTTAGCTGAAGGAAAGTGGCTATCGCGGCGAGCATTCTCTTGCGTAGTTTGTACCAGTATGCAGCGGCGAGCAGGAATAGCAGGAGACAAACCAGGTTGGGGATGGAGACGAGATCAGGGTTTTTTTGTTTCAAGGTGTCTACCTTGATATTCTTGTCTGCAGCTGTGCAGAACGGTGCGAACAGGAGGGCGAGGGTAACCAAGTGTGGCTTCATAGTGAAGTGCGTGCAGTGCAATAGAGAGCGAGGTAAGGAAAGGAAAGGAAAGGATGTGCATTCAGGATAAATGAAGAGAGTCCCGAGGCTATCAAGGTTAAGGTTGGTCACGCGTACTCATCCAGGTAGGGTACCTTAACCTACCAGCCCGTTTTACAGACTTTTTATTCCCGTTGTCGAGGAACGAAAAATGATGGAGAGTTACCTGATTCGTTTCTTGGCCTGGCAGACTCAAAGTGGATACATACGATTATTCATTAGTGGTCGTTGGTGGGGTCGTCCAGGCGGGGGATCCAGTTTTTAAGGTGAGTGAGTACCTTGATGGGCATTGCCAAGAGAAGCCTCACGATGAGCTACAGGGACCCGACATCGACGACAGGGACTTGGGAGGTCTTTTTGATCGTGATCCTTTAGGCTATAGAGACGTTATATTTACTGGCATGAGTAATGCGACTGGTTGTAATCGAGATTAGAGGGTGGTGAGTACCTGAATGGCATACAAGTACCTCCACTGACTTGCACTTACACGAGCATGTTGGATGCATCTTGACAGGTGGTAACCAACGGTTCAGCCGTCATCTCAAAGCTCAAGGGAGTGATCCAATTCGAGTACAATACACCCTACAAATACCCCCACGCGCCGACAATGGACCTCCCAATGCGTTCATTATCCCCTCCCGGACAGCCCGTTCCTTGCTAGTCCAACACTTGCATCCTACGACCCTCGCAAGTGGCAAGGCAATTCTCTTGGCAGAGCCTGTGAATCACTCTCACTCTCATTGCAAGGGATATAAAAATTTCCTCTCCCGCCTGCATCTCACCTCGACATCCTCTCGCTCACACCAACATCGACATCTCTCGCTCATCAACATCGACATCTCTCACGAGCATCAAGATGAAGACCACCACTTTCGCCGTCGCCCTTTTCGGCCTCTTCCCTGCCATCATGGCTCAGGCTCCCTCGCCTACTGAGTCTGTTGGTTGTGAACCTCATGGTGATCACTGGCACTGCGAGGCTGCTCGAACTGATGATGCTGTTGCTGCTACCTCTGACGCTGAGCATGATCACGACCACACTGATTCTACTGGCACTGGCTCTCTTGCTGCTTCGCCTACCGAATCTGTGGGCTGCGAGCCTCATGGAGATCACTGTATGTCCCTCAATCCTCTCACTGTAACCGTTTACTGACATATCTAGGGCACTGCGAGGGCGCTCGATCTACCCTTGCAACTGAAGCCAAGGTCACCGAGTCCGAGCATGACCACGACCACACTGATGCTACTGGATCTGGCTCTCTTGCTCCCTCTCCTACTGAATCTACCGGCTGTGAGCCTCATGGCGACCACTGGCACTGCGAGGCTGCCCGCACTGGCATTGAGGCCAAGGCTACCGAGTCTGAGCATGATCACGACCATGACGACGCCACTGGCTCTGGCTCCCTCGCTCCCTCTCCCACCGAGTCCGTTGGCTGTGAGGCCCACGGCGACCACTGTACGTTTCTCCTCACCACGATCTTGCAATCACATACTGACTATCCCAGGGCACTGCGATGGTCCCGCTACCGCTGCGGCAGACAGCACTACTACTTCCAGCAACTCAGCTGCTGTCACCGACAACGCTGCCATTGGTCAGATGATCCCTCTGGCTGGTATGGTCGCCGCTGCTGTTTTTGCTCTTTAAATACTGGGGTTGGGAATGGGTGATCTGGGGATATTGGTGTCGAACCCTGGATTGATACACTTCACGTAAACTTTGTTTCTTGATGTACCGGAAGCGTTTTGACTACTGGACTAAAGATTAAACGTAGATATGTTCATTAATCACGACTTTTACTTGATCGTGCTTTGAGGTTGTTGTGTTATTGATGAGTGTTGGTTGTCCTGCACGACTGGTCTCTTCAAATGGAGAAGAGCCAGTCTGGATCTACCGATACCCTCTATAAATGCATTCGAAGTTTCTCACTGTACATTATCGTAATTATTGCCAGCCCTCTAATGATGTCGGCGTAATTGACAGCTGAGCCTCACTCAAACCTAACCTCCACCTTCGTCCTCACCCACACGTCACACGTCAAAACAACCTCGTCAATAGCGCCGCACCCAAAATTACCCGTAAACATGACCTTGTTTTCTTCTACCCCTGACTAAGGTAGGCCCTGCCTTGCATATCCATTCGAAGTTTCCCCGAGAAACTGATCACATCACGTCAAAGATCTCTCAGCTCCGGGCAGCAAGCAAGGGCTTGGCCCACGCCCATCAAGGTTCTTAGCAACCCACCACCACCAACATCAAGTTCGGGGTACTCATACCCGCACAGCCGGCTGTGCGAATAGAGTCACGTGCTTATCTGCACAGCTGGCCTAGTATTTTACTTTAAAGTTAATTATATAATTTAATTATTATTGAATTTTATAAGATATTTTATAGATATATATGAGTACCCTCAAGCTCGCCGTGCGGAATAAACACCGCGGTCTTTTGGGTAAATGGGAAAATCTCTGCTTCCTACAGGTACCTTAGGTACCTATTGAGTAACCTTGCTTTCCTTTTGCAAGCTTACTTGTCCGCGATATCAAATCGGATTGTTGGCTTTCAACGATGTAGTCTAAGTTTGAGGCAGGAGGATCCAAGCAGGTGGTCTGGCCGATTGCCGGGCAACTCTTGCCCTGTCCCTCTACCGTAATATGGCAGGTCCATATGGATCTCTTCTGTAAATGGAAGGCTTCTTGTAGACATCCAGGTCATCTCAGACTCAATGTCGCCCCACGGTTCTTTCCATTTGCTCGCTGGCAAGAGCCCTGCTGGAGTTTCCTGACATGGAATGGAATAAGAGGACCTTCATATACACCTCATCTCCCACTCCGATTGTCTCTCCCCATCACTCATACATAACACAAACATCCAAAGTCTATTCATCCACTATGATCGCTGCGTATCTCTTCTTTGTCCTCGCTATCTCTGCAGCGGCGGAAACGATAACTGCTGTGACGAATTGCTACATTGACGAGGGCTCTCTGTAAGTTCGTTCTTCCACTATCAGTAGAACATTCGTGCCTAACAAGACCAGCTTCTGCATGGGCCCAAGCTCATCAGAGTACTACGTCCATACTACCGTCACCAATACCGAAGAATATCCTGCCCAACTCACGAGCTGCCACAGCCATGGTGAAGAAACGTACGTTACTCTTCGACGCTGCCAAATCCTACTAACAATTTTAGTTACTGTATGTCTGAAGACGGCAAAGTTCCCATCTTCCCAGCCGCAGCTGTCGAAACGGGTAAACCAGACACTCAGCAAGAACACTGCCATTATCACGCCGGCGTCGAGTTCGTAGTCTTTTCTTCCATCTGAAGCCTTGACTAACTTGCGACAGGCACTGCGTTGGCGGTGGCGGTACGCGAGACTGCGGTCGTAAAGACAAACCCTACAAGATTGGCATTCGCGTAGGAATGCTGTTCGTTGTTCTGGCCGCCAGCTGTGTTGGTGTTTTTGGGCCGATTCTCATGTCTACTTTCGCCCCCGTGCGATCCAACCTTGTACTCACGATTCTCAAACAATTCGGTACTGGAATTGTTGTCTCCACTGCGTTTTCCCACGTACGTTTGCCCACTCTCCTTGGGAGACAATAACTGACCGCTGAAGTTGTTCACCCATGCGTTTATGATGCTTGGTAACGAGTGTGTGGGCGACCTGCAATACGAAGGTACCACTGCTGCCATCGTCATGGCTGGCCTCTTCATTTCGTTCCTTGTCGAGCTCTGTGCGGTGCGCGCTTTGCGACGGCAGTCGACCGAGAAGACCGACATCGACTCGGCTTCCTTGTCGCCCAAGGCTATGGAGAAAGCCGAGATGGCCAACATTAGCATCATGGAAGCTGGTATCATCTTCCACTCGCTACGTACGTCCATCACTCTCTTCCTACATACCCCAACTAACGTCTCAGTCATTGGTATCACACTTGTTGCAGCCGGAGACAAGTTTTTCATAACACTTACCATTGTCATCATATTCCATCAGCTCTTCGAAGGTATCGCCCTCGGCACACGAATTGCCTCGCTTGGCTATGGTAATATTTATACACCCCTCGTCCTAAGTCACTCTCATTCTCACTCCACACCTCCTCCAATTGTTGAAAGAACCGGAACATCTACTGTCCCACTGTGGAAGAAACTCGTCCTTGCTTCTGGCTTCGCCATCGTCACACCTGTCGGCATGGCCATTGGTATCGGTGTTCTGAAAGTCTTCAACGGAAACGACCCCGCTACGTTGATCGCGATTGGTACCCTGGACGCTTTGTCCGCTGGTATCCTCGTCTGGGTTGGTCTGGTTGAGATGTTGGCTCACGACTGGATGCTGGGAGGTGAACTCGCTGATGCCAGCCTCCGTACTACGCTTTTGGCTCTATTTGCTTTGGTTGGCGGCATAGTTCTCATGAGCTTGCTCGGAAAGTGGGCTTAAACGGTTGGTCGTTAGAAGACGTGGAGAACGCGAACACGAGGCCGGTGACGTCCTACGCAGCAGTCAAAGATCATTCATTAGAGGTATAGAAATAGGCCGCACACACATACAGTATACAGTATACAGTATTCGGTATTCAATAATCAATAATCAATTATCTTGCACACTTTATCGCTCCATAGGAGCTTGGTGACTTATAATTTCCGGAGTTTCTCGAAGGTGATGTACGGAATGGGTTCGATGAACCCAATTCGCAGCGCCTTATACTCTACCGTGATCACGTCTCATCCTCCGTTATCCCAAGCTCAACCCTCTCTCTAGTCTCTCTTTGCGCGCGCAGCTTGGATCTTCTTGGTCAAGCCTCTGATGCCAAAGAAGATGCCAATAACCGTCTCGTTCACCCAATTAGGCAAACACGACAGAATCCAAGTCTTGGTCGCCATCCCTCCTGCGTAGAACCAATCAGGTGTACCCCCAATCAACCCGCCCAGATATCCCTCACCCTTCAACGCAGCGGTCACCAACTTCTCCGCATACCTCTCCGTCGGCATCGTGGCCGTTCGCTGACTGAACGTCAATCGTCGCTGGAAGAAGTCATTGATGGGCATGTACAGAGAGTTGGGCGGCAGGGATCGATGTGTCCGGCTGGCGATGTTGGATCGCACTGTTCCAGTGACGGCGACCATGACGCGCACGTTGAAGGGCTTGAGTTCAAGACGGAGCGCTCGGGACCAGACGTTGATGGCACCCTTGGTGGAGGAGTAGATGGCGCCAAAGATGTAAGGGACGAGAGTGGATGTGCTGGAGATGTTGATGATCAGACCACGGGCTTCAATGAGGAGAGGCGCAAAGGTTGAAACCATCTGGATTGGACCGAAGACATTGACCTCGTATGTTTGGCGAACATCGTCGAGATCTGTGTCAATGGAGGGGATGGTGTGAGTTCGGCCACTGGGAAAGTCAGTTTGCGCCATATACTGAGTGTACTGGGTGAACTAACGCATTGTTCACGAGAATGTCGAGACGGCCGCCAGTGAGTTCGGAGACCTTCTCTTTGCACTCTTCAATACTCTTGGCGGAGGTGATCTCAAGAGGAAAGACACTGACGCCGGGCTTTTCGAGATCCTTGATCATGTCTGTGTTTCGCACCGTCGCAATGACATGGCAGCCTGTGGGAGTGAGTTAGCACTCAATTGAAATGTCCCCAATCATTCAACTCACCCTGACGATGAAACTCATTAACAAGAGAATGGCCGATACCTCCAGGCGAGCATCTACTCTCATCAGCTTCAATCCTCAACAAATCTGGAGGTCAATTGCTTTACCCAGTGATAAGAACGTAAGTGTTTCTTTCGGCCATTTTGGCTGACAATTTCCCAAATCTGACAGAGGATGTAAGTTGATTCGTTGAAGGTGAGCACACCTACAAGTAAATACTCGTGGTGTTGAAGCTTGCGATTGAGGTCTATTGAAGCTCTTAAAGTGAAGCGAAAACATGTGAAATTGGATCGAGCTGTTTCCCCATTGCCGAGACCTGCGGTGGATCACGATTTGGGACGTTTCAGCCACTGAGGATTGACCTGGTTTCGCTGCCCGCGGGCTTGCGTTGGGAGTTGAGAGTGTCACTATACGATTATCGAGTGCGAATGCGAGTGTTTATCTTGATCTAATGACTTGAATTGAGCAGTCAACTCAGCCTTGGGGCTTTGTTAATTCCCCTTTGTACCTTATCTATGGTTGATGGGAGACAGTTCTTTGGCTTCGCAGCGGGGAACATGTTGCCTCGTATGCACCTCTAAATGCTACCCTGTACTCTACAATACATGCAAAGATGCGCATGATTTACTCACAGCCTTTGATTTAAATGGGTTGAATATGATTTTCATATACAACTTTCATAGTCTTATCTTAAAACCTTTGGAAAAGGTCTCAGTGTCGATAAAAGTGGAAGCTGAGACATCTTCAAGCTCAAGATGAAGGCCTCAATGCCAACTTCCTTGGATCTATTGAAGGATCATCGATGGGATGCAGAGGACGGCGATGGAACAACCTGGGGCAGCCGAGGTTCCTTGAAGGATCAGATCGCGTGACCAGGGTGAAGTGTTGGAAATTGTCGAGATCTAGATTACGTAGTCGGCAGTCCCAGGGATATGTTCATGCATATAAACTCCAATTCAGCTTGTGCCCAGGGAAACACTTGACCTTGCACGAACCCATCACCAAACGGGCGCTTTGTCGGCCTTGTCGGACTAAGACCCTTCTGACCATTTCGTCAGAACGTTCTGATACGAAATGATGCCGACGAAGGCTCCCAGCTCAAACCCGCCATGCGATGACAGCAAAAAGATTAATGCAGACCAAGTGCCGACTTGGAGCCGCATCTTGTTAAAACAGCACCGGAATGAACGGGGACGGCAAGATATCATATGACGAAAACGGACTTCGCTTATCGTTTCTTCGGTCGGCAACAACAAACTTTACCTGGATTGTGATAATCTTCATTTAACGCCTGCACTACAAAGCATTAGGCTTCAAACCTTATCGCGCAAGAAAGGAGGCAGACTTGGGGGCCAGACCTTGAGAAGTTAACAGGCAACGACGACGTTTCGAAGATTGACCAGAGCCCCAACGCTGGTGCAGATAAGAATGAACGGCTGGCCGTTTCGGTTGAGTCCTTGCACCAACTTGCCCTATCATTCACAGGCTACAAATGGTCTTGTGATGCGAGATAAATATACACTGGTAGTTTTGAGGCAGTATAGCGTCACCATGAACAAAGGATCTCTTATCACAGGAAGCCTCTCATTGACCGTTGACTGCAACAGAGACTGCCGCAATCGTGACAAATTCGAACAATCACTTCATCAAAGAACTAAACATGGTGAAACCGTCAAATATCTACGCTAAATGGCAACCGATATGATACATCCTGTACCGTCCAAACTCCACGAGGCTATAACCTCATTCATACCCATCCAGAACCATTATTCCTTCATTCTTTTATAATCCATTAATCCCTCCAGCCCGATGATATTGACGAATGTGACGAACTCAAACGTGATCTGTTTCCCCGGGGATCAACAGGCGTAGAATCCGCCTCAACCGCCGTCCCCGTCCCGTCCATCTCATAAACAGGCGCTGGCTCAGGAGGCAGTTCCACCGGCTCAGGAGGCTTGTAGAATCCCGCGTTCGGATCCGGTGTCCCCATTGCTTGCTGTGGCGAACCAGCTGCTGTCCACGCTGGTTTCGGCTCGGTAGGCTGATAGGGTGAGCCGTCGCGGTTCTCGTAGTTGGGCAGCATGGGGTGCGATTCCTCGGCGTTCTTCCTGCGGCGTTGCATCCAGAACCACACCAAGAGGCCTACTACCGCTGCACCACCAACTGCTGCACCAACGGCTACTCCCGCTGTGGCGCCCGTTGACAACCCCGTATCGTCGTTGTTCTCAGCGCTCGTCGTAGTAGCAGCAGCTGTGTCTTTCGTGGTACTCGCCGAATCGGTCGCCGTCGCAGAAGTAGTCGAAGAGGTAGCCGCACCAGTAGTCGTACTCGCACTCGCACCCTTCTCTGCCGCCTCCTGATACTCCTTCTTGGTAACCTTCATCGGCGTCTGCGAATTGGAGCACGCCTCGTTCATGGTATCGTACGTCTCGTCCACATCGCCGGGCGACTGCTTGCCGATGCACGCAGCGGAGCCGAGGATGAAGTCATTGTTGTAGTTGCCAAGACCGCAGAGGCAGTAATTCAGCTCCTTGCTGTCAGCGCCGGTGCACGAGGCGTCGTCGGCGGCTTGGGAGAGACATCTCTGCGCGCCCTTGGGGTAGAAGTCGAAATTGTTGTCGAGAGCCAATGAAGGCGATAGGAGGAGGAGGAGCGTGAACCAACGCGACGCCATGTTTGATGACAATTGGGCTGGATGCGTGTTGGTTGGTGATTCTTTGGAGGGCCCCCTTCAGAAGACGGGAACCTGGTTTTCAGCTGAAAAAGCCACCCAACCAGGCTAATTATGCAAAACAGTTGCTGATTGATCAATCATTCAAAAGCCGAGACAGATAATTACTTGGAGAGACAAAAAAATCAACAATTCCCAGCTCGTACTGTAGCGAATGACAGAAAGAAATGAAAAGAGATAACGACTGGCGATGTTTTGGTTTAGTTAAATGTTCGACTGTGATGATGCAAAAAAGAGGAGAAGGGAGGAAAAAACAGGGGGGAGAAGAAGACGGAACCGGGTTCTGGGGGGGTTTTTAGCGTCTAAATTATCGGAACCTCCAAAAACTATGACGGAATTAGTGGAATAGCACTGCGACTATGAGCTGTTTGGCTTGGTCTGATTTAATTACCTTGGTCGATCCTTCAGTCAGCACCAAACCCATCTCAGGCATCAGGTGTGAGCAGCAATCGAGGATCGACCCTCCCAAGCCCCATCCGACCATGGCGCAGTACATCGTCTAGAGGGAGCCCTGATTGGTGATTTTCGGGCTAATTTTAGGGTGAACCAGCCGGATATGCATCAGCCGGGGGTTCTGTGGCTTGTGTCGATGTCGGTTTCATGACAGAAGATTTGAGTGAGACCCAAGATAATGTCAGTCGTTGTTGATAAATGGATGGTATACTTATCCGTGGCAAGAATATTTATCATCTCAACTGATCATCAGTCACAGCCCTACGGAACATCAAGGCTTGGCAAAAGCTTAGACTACGTGCGTGAGGCGATCTCCAACGGGTACCGTTGACTCCGTAGGATCCCAATCAATCAGCCTTACCTTTTCGCTGAGCTGAGCTGGCATGTGGGTTTCTATGCATCCACCAGGATATTGCCTGACTCTCACAAACAAGGGTATCATTCTTCTACATTTCTCCATTTTTTAAAATACACCAAATCCCATATCTCACTTCCGCCCCGCCCGTTGTCTCACCAGTCTTACAATCGACTGAACACCTTGCCAAAAATCTCACGAGCCTTCAATAGGTTCAGCAGACATATCCGCTCGTTGTCCAGATGAGCCGAATCGCTTGACTGTCCGCAAGGCAAATGCGCTGCAGGAGCTCCAAATTCCTTCTCCAAGAATCTGATCGCTGGGATGGATCCACCCTCGCGGATGTAGAGCGGCTTACGAGGTTTGCCAAGCTTGGTCTTTACTGACAGAACTTCCTCCTCCTTGGACTTTTCTGCCTTTTCGGGCTCTGGTGTAGCTTCTCCTGATGAAGGCGACGTTTCGAAACACTCATCCCATGTCTCCAGGATGGCCTTCTCCAGTGTCTGGAAGATAGCATTGGTAGGGTCTCCAAGCCATGGTTCAGCTCTGTTGTCGACGTTGATGGTGAGTTTGTTCTGTGACTCAAGCTGAGAAAACTCATTCTCAAGGAACTTGACGAGGGCTTCAATCACGTTGCCCACTTCTTGTCCTGGCACCATGCGCAGACTGATGTGGGAACTGGCATGACTGCTTACTAGACTTCCATCAGGACCAGAAACCTTGTATCGGTGGAGTGTCAGATTGGGCTCGCGCCACCTTGCCATAAGCGACTGTTTGAGCCTCTCCTCGGGGCCCTTTTCAGGATTGCTGCGGATCAAGATCTGGGCAATATCATCGTAGCGCGCTTCCTCTTCAGGTGTCACCGGAAGAATGCCATCGTAGAAGCCGGGAACCTGTACCCGGTTGCCAGGGCCCTTGAGCTTGCCAAGGATCTGAGTGAGATCTGAAAGAGGCTCATTCATCATGTAAGAGCCGTCGACGCCCGAGTGGATATCCGGACGAGGCGCATCAACGCACACAGTTGTGTGCAGAACACCACGAAGACCGTACGTCAAGCACGGGACTTCGTCATCTAACCAGTAACTGTTGGCAAGCAGGATATAATCCACTTCGCCGATCAGCTCTTTGTTCTTCTTGACAGCTTCCTCAAAGCCTAATGATCCAAACTCTTCCTCGCCCTCAATGAGGAAGATGACATCGTTTTCCAGTTGCTGATTCTCCATCAAATCAGTCACTGCATACAGCGCAGCGATGATGGGACCCTTGTTGTCACTGACACCACGACCATATAGGTAACCGTTAGTTCCTTGCATTGTGAATGGATCAGTCTCCCATTTGCCTTTGCGGCTGTCGGCGGCGACTACATCGTAATGGCCGTAAAAGAGGATTCGCTTTCGTCTCTCAGCAGCCTCCTTCTTGGCTGAGAAATGGGCGTAGACGACAGGGTTGTGGTGCTTCTCGGTGCTGAGTAGCTCAACATGACCCCCGAGACGTTTGAACAGCGCACCAAGGTAAGTAGCTCCCTTGCGGCAGTCTTCTGCAAACTCGGGGCGAGAGGAGACGGTCTTGTATGACACAAATTCTCGCAATGACGACAGTAAGAGGTTGTCCGAATCCTGTGATACTTCTTTCTCTTTACTGTTGCACTTATCGGTGTCTATGGACCAAATCGAGATATTGTCATCGTTGGCACCGGTGATAAAGTATTGCTTGTTCTTGTAGTTCGTGACAGCCGATGCAAGGACCTTGCCCTGATGAGCTTCCCATCTTAGGAGGCACTGATACTTCTGGGGAACGGTTCCAGAGGAAGCGTGTTGGTATTTGCCGTAGTGGGTGGTACTGTATTTCTGGAAGCTGTTAGTGAAAGGTTGTGCATGGTCGACAAGAGTACTCACACTGGCCCAACCATTAGTTGCAGCAGTCCACAAATATCCCCAGCCCATTTGTATCGACATGATATCGCAGTCGTGGGCCTTGATAACCCTCAATCGCTGCGCAGTATCGAGATCCCATAGTTCAACGATACCGTCAAGCTTTCCAGCGTAAAGAAACGAGCTGTCAAGTGCCAGAGATAGGACAGACTCGCCATCGTCAGAGCCCAGTGTCATAATCTCTTGGATACCACCGCTAAGCTCCTCGTCATCCTCAACAGTATGCCCAAGACTCCAAAGCTTGATTGTGCCGTCACCTGCACCAGAGATCAGGACATCATCGTCTGTCCCAACATCGACTGTTGGTCCCTTGGCCATGAGCATACAGTACACATATCCATAGTGGGCAAAGTTTTTGACGCAGCCTGCATGCATCTCGAGAACAGTGTGTGCTTTGGGTATCAATCCCCATCGATCGTCGTTTCGTCGAGGCGTACTTGCGCCACCACCAACAGCTTTGGAGTCGAAGAAGCGATGATTTCGTCGATCAGGATGCTGCTGTGACTCGGGGGACACACGAGCTGTAACGTCGTTGAGGCCAACCCATTGAATGGTGGCGTTTTGTGCACCGATGTATAGTGTCTCATGTTGGGGGCTGTATGCAGTACAAAAGATATCGCCGACATCGTAGGAGCCGTAGATTTCGTAAAGTCGAGTCAAGGTGCTTGGATCCCAGACATTGATGATGGGGTCTCCAGCGCTGGAAAACAGGAGTGACGCATCGGGCGACAACGATAAGGATAGGACACTTCGCTTGTGGGCTTGGACACGGCGGACCTGTCGGAATGTGTCAAGAGACCATGCTGCAATCTCTCCGTCTTGTGTACCGGCGTAGATCGTCTCATGCTGTGGACTCACGGCGAGAGCGAGGACGGTGCTTGTATGGGACAACGAGTGGACGAGGTCGGGGCTTGTGGCAGGATCTTCAGGGGCTTCGAGGGGTGAGAGAATCGGAGACGAGGGACCTGGTGACATTGTCGGTGATACCGTCCGTGAAGGCATCGTGAGTGTGTCTGGAAGCTGCTTGTTAGCTTGAAGGTCGGAGCAGCGGTGGAGGATCTCGAGGGGGGGCAGACAGGGGTCTCGAGAAAAACGATGGCGTGCTGATCGATTGCTTTCAAAAAGGCAAATAAAAATGAGGGAATGCGTATCTGATGCAAGGGACGCACTCTTGGTTATCACGAACTTGAATACTATGATCTGTGGTGTTGTGGATAAGCAAGATAACAAGAGTCAGCGCTGAAGCTCCAGCGCCGAGACCGCTCAGAAATTGGGCCAGGTATGACGCGATTGCGCAATCGCCAAATCCAGGGTTCTCTCCCTATCCTCCCTTGCAAAAAGTCTGCGAAATGAATCAAAGCTTCAAAAAAGCACAGACAAAGTCGCTGAGCCCGATTGTGTCATTTTTGGTTGAGCCTTCGCAATTGAACACTCGAGAGTGTTGAGATTGGCTTTCAACTGCTGGTTATCATGGCGAATACGCCACAGCCTTTTGTCATGTTGCAGCGCTGATTGGTCCATTGAAGAGCGCACCGCCACTTTGCCAGCCTTGCGGGATCAGTAGCCACACGATCCGGTGCCCCCGTAAATCGGCACTAGCCTTTCGGGGAATATTGTTGATTGTAAGTCAGAAGAGGCCTGAAGACTTGCTCAGGATGTGATGGAGTTCTGAGGGTAGAAGAAGATATTTGGGTAGTTGTAGAATGGTCTAAGTCACTTGAACTTGAGTACATGCTCGGTAAAGAACCAGATATGAAGGATAGTACTGGGATAGGAGAGACTCAAGTGTCAACGATATGAGAGCAACACTTACCATCGTCAGAATTGACCAGCAACTCCACGGCCTGCCTCTTCTCATACTCCAATATCTTGGCACATCCCGTACAACCACCACCATTCAAAGAAGTGTCAAACATGGCCACAACGCTCATAACAGCAGACAATAAAAGAGCTTAGGCAAAGAGATTCAATTAATAGAGAGAAGAAATACAGGTAAGAAAAAAGGAGTAAGATAAGACGAGACAAGCTTCTGCCCCCCAACATAACATAAAACAGGGTAACCAGGTGACCTGTACGACCTGTACTGTATACGTGTGCGCGTCTCAGAGACAGATACAAAGCAACGAAGAGACATTGGGCTCACCGATATTTTAGGCCACCCCTGATCCTGATCCTGATCCTGAGCGTCTTTCAGCCCGGCTGCGGCTTGACATGGGTCCGGCTGTTGGCGATATCGGGGGCGGGACGGACGGGAGCTGGCCGGGCTAGTTAGGCTGGGCTGGGCTGGGATAAGGGTGCATGCGCTGAGCCGTCGTATCGGGAGTGAGTAGGTCTTGGCTGGCGGTTTTGTTCGTTTCATGTGTAACTTGTGGTTTGTATTTCTATCTAACACTCTATCCTTCCATTATGTTCGATCCAACCCCCAATGTAATAATTATTGTCTTACATCAGTTGCACGATAAGTAAGGCCTTGCTCACATCATATTTATTCCCGTCCTCTCCGGCCATTGGCGCTTCCTTACCCCAGATTCCGTCAGATCGGTACCAGCGATCGTCACCGTGACCCAACACTCAGGCTTTGGCACCCTCTTGTCATCAACACGTTCGGTCCGTCGCATTCTCTATCATCAGCACTAATATGGCACATTCTCGCCGTCTTGTTGAAGGCCTGTCCGTGAAAGGCTACAGTACTTTGGTGGGCTGGCCAGTAACCGAAGTGTCTCGCATATGCCTTAAACATCATGGTTATATTGCCCATTTGCTATCTCCAACTCCAAGACGGTCAGAAACCAGACCTCGTAGGCCATTGATCGCTGATCCCTCGCTGCACGGGTGCTTCAGAGGGCATGCTCGACCGCTTCTTTTTTGATGAAGAAGGTGGTGGTCGACATGAATGATGGTGTATTATCGAGAAGCTTCCACTTGCTGATATCAGTCCCATGGTCGACAAGAGTCTTATTTAGTTTGGTCGCTCGCAGTACCATCTTCTCTAGAAGACGACGTGGCAGCCATTTGACGATATCCTGGGCCATGGGGGCTTACTGACACTGTCGTCAGGTCGGATTCCCTCTGAAGAGACCGCTCTGGCATCTCATCAGTCTCAAGATCGCTAGGTGGGTAGCGTAGTATGCGAAGTAGGAACCGTAGGTGTAGCCATAAGGTTTTTCATGGTCGGTCGTGTCTTAACTCCAACACTAACCCTAAGAGGTGTCTAAGTTGACGTTGGAGTTAAGGATCCTGGTATTGGCGACGAAGATCTGGGACTTGCCGTCGGGGTCGTTGAAGTTGTGTATGATGTGGGCTTGCTCGGCCGTTTGGTAGTGGGAGTCGATCGTGACTACTTGGTACTGGGTGATCTTGAAGGCGCTGGTAACTGAAATGTGAGGTATGTCAGGAGGGTGAAACTCTGAGATAGTAGGATCTGGATTAGGCGGGATTATATAGTCTTGCGGCGAAGACTCAATCTCTGGACCATCATCTGATGCATCTGATGACAGATGTCACCAACCACTCCGTAGCACTGTTCCATTCCTCTAGGCAAGTGTCGGATCTTCTTCTTGATCCCAATCGCGGGTTCAATGTCGTGCGGGGATTCTTTCTTGAGGCCCGCATCTTGCTCAAAATCCACGTACTATGACTGTCCCACCTCAAGCGGCTGTAAAGAAGGGCGAGCGAGGGCATACAATGGCTTTGCAGATTTGATGTTCTGTTATTTTAGCAGGTGATGATGAGGTCTGAGTGTGCGCCGGTTTCGTAGAGCACGTCAATTAGCTGGCCTGCCATAGTCAAGTTGAACAGCCAGCACAGTCTGGTCAGGATATCTAGGCGGTAAACCAATACCACCTTCTTCTTCTCTTCGCAGCACCCGGCTTCAGGCAGGTCATCTGGTTCTGGGGGTTATCTGATCATCACTCAGCAAGTCGACGCCCCTGCCGTCCTTCTTCTGCTGCTCTTGGAACCTCTTCATCCAATCGCTGTTGGCTACTCGTCGCTCAAGGGCCGTCTTGTTGACACTCGCTTGGTATTTGGTATCCACCTTAAAAACGATAGTAATAAACTAAGCCGTCATCTATACCCAGGCCTTCTTCAAAATATCTCCGGATACCTGGGTCCGGGAGTCCGTAACTGTTCCTGCGCGCTGAGCCCGGTGATGAGTGCAAAGGAGCTGGATACTGATGTGCACTGCGGCCTCTATTTGGGATGGCAGTGATTCAATCTGACCTCATGAGGTGTATATATGACACCGGAAGACTTCGTGTAGGACCTAATACAAGGCATGCCAACGTCGCCGGAGATGTCTTCATATCCGCAGCGGGTTTCGACGTCTGTGGCGAGGTCTTTGTCGTCGAGGAAGGTATCAGCATCGCCGGTGATGCTGACTTTAATACCTCATAGTTTGGAGTCGGAGTCTTCGAGGAGATCATGGATATCGCCGGCGATGTTACCCTCGATGGCAGCAGAGTCGTCATGTTCTTGGCGAGGCCGCACCGAGAGCTCGATTTCTTGGTAGACAGCGTATTTCCCGCGTCCTGCTGATCCTCTCCCTGACCAGCTTCTTGGCCAGCTTGGCTGTATGCGCTATCTGTGTTTTGACATGTGTGCACCCGAAGACCGTGCCGACCTCTTAGTATGAGCCGCACTCGTGGACTTTGGTTATCGAACCCCGGCATTCTAATTCGCTACTGGCAGAAGCAGGGGCCATACTGATGGTCATCGAGCAATTGACCCAAATGCTAGACGTGTTCATCATATCATTGGAAATAGTGTACCGAGAATCTCTATGTGCTGCAAAATGCAAGGAGACTTCTCCTGTGTGCGTATTGTTCTGGGATAGGATGAGATCCATGCCTTGCTCGTTGGTATTTGATGTATACCACAGATACATTTTGAGGACAGTTATGTTGATTTACCGCCGCCGATTTGAACCACCAGCCAGAGGTCAGGTCTGTCTCTATGGTGTTCAGTTGTACCCAAAGTCGGACTGTTCTGGCGAACGTTCTAACGAAGCTTCTATTGGGTGTAGCAGTAACAATCAGGAGATGCACAGGTATTTCTTTAGTGGTAATGCTGGACCCCAAGCCTCTTGGGGTACAGCCAAGATCATGGTCAGTCGTCCCCGTAGCAACATCTTGTGTGCGTCAAGAGGCTCTCGTAGTTGTCTGTGCAATGATCGCGACTTCCCACAGCTGACAGGGCCCCGGAAACTGTAAGATCAAACTTGCCGTCACGATGGCCTTTCCAAACCCATGCGATCCGGCCTCGGATTATTTTAGCTTCTAGTATCAGGAAGTTCCAAGTAACTAGGGCATCGTCTAAGGAATCTTGTTCTTCTGCCTGGTGTGTGGCGCTATCTTCTGGCATCTGTTGATGAATATCTATTACGGCTGAATAGTTTGTAAAGGCAGGCTCGGTACACTTCTCAAGCGACGATTGTTGTTGGTTGTTTCCGTCTCTTATACTCGATGAGTTGCAGCATTAGGAACGGACCATGCGCGCCAGAGTATGCCCGGCATCACTGATACCGGCCTCTCTCGGAAGCAAATCCAGATCCTTCCGAATGCGGTCCAATAATCAAGGAGAAGAAATAAGTCTTGATGTTTGTGACGGATGCGCACTGTCCTGGAGCCGGATGAGCTCATCGCACATACGTCGGCCACGCAGGCTGTCGACGAAGCCGGGCTGGTCGGAGACCTCCTCGTCTATCTTCCATGCCAGGAGTCCAGAATTCATGTCCTTATAGCTATCTGAGCCTGTTAAGTAGTCCTCCCAGTATGTGGTGGCATGCCCGAAGTAGTCATCGCCGCTCTTGTTCAGGTTGAGCAGGACGATTATCCTGTCCGCCTGCTTGACCTTGGCCTTGTTGTGAGGCTCGCCCAACTACATTTTAGTACGCAGACAGGAGAATGATTCTAAATAGAAAGCTTTCTCTGGGCTATCTCTGAGTAATTCTGCACTGTTCTTTGATGCTCGATCCTCGGAATTGCCCGGAGCCCAGCGCTTCA